TCAGGTGAAGACACGAGACGGGAAGTTCCCGCTCAAAATGAAGACTTGGTGAACCCCGACGTACTGGTGTGGGTGGGCTCGGGCAGGGGTAATTCTAACGTGCAGCTGCTCCCACAGGCAGGGCCCGAGCAGCACTGCTTTTCTGAGCCAGACCTTCCCAGGCTCTCCCGGGGCAGTACATAGAGCAATCATCCTGTCTGGCCTCTCCTCCGTCCCTAACCCGTCAGGGTTCCCAGGTGCTCGCTCACCATTTCTGCTATCAGAATGGCCCCCAACGGCCCTTCAGAAAAGTTGAGTAGACCCTTAAACTGCAGTGTCGTTTCTAGGGACAAGGAATGAACACAGAGACAAAGAGACACAGACACACAAAGACGGTACAAGACTGCAGCAGCCTTCCTGCCGCAGTTTCTTTATTTATAACACAGCCTGTTTCGCAACTGTCCCACCACAATTTCTTTATTCCCACACTGTCCCGACTCAACACGTCCCATTCCTTGTTGTTTCGTCTCCGGCGAGCATATGTTTGCATCTGAACTCTCCAGCCCCTCCTGCTTGCAGGGTTAGGGCGCCCTGGCTCGTTTGCAAGCCCACAGGCATATTCTTGAGAAAAACAACAAGCAACCATTCCCAGGCTAAATGTCCTCTACATTGGAGCTTCAGCCAAGCACAGTTGAGGAGGTTGGGACAAGAAGGAGAGGAGGTACAGGGATGAGAAGGAAAGGATGAGAAAAGTAAAATAGGTGAGGAAGGAAGTGGTGTGGGTGTGTTCATCTGAAGACATTTGGGGGGTTCTTTGACAAGAGATTATTAGTGTTGCCTGGGGATTCAAAATAATACCTACAAATGGTAGGATGGCCCTTCTTTAATATACAATTTAAATTCATTTGATTTTTTAGTGACTTGTTAACAACACAGAGACTGAAGGGTTTTCTATCAATTCCCACATTCTCACCAGCAGCAACACCCTCCCATGCTAGGGAGGAAAATCTCGAAAATCAGGGAAGTTGAGGAACATGCTCAAGGCTCACGAACAGAACCAGAATCCCAGCCCAAGTGTACTCCAAATCCATTATCTCTCCAGACACCCAAACTGAGCACCAGAATCCTCACAGCAGCTTTTTTAAAACATGAATTCCCAGTCCCACCCCATGCCTGCTAAGTCAGAGTCTCTGAGGCCAGTGACCAAGAACCACGGCTTTTGCCAGCCTCCCAGGTGATACTTTGATGGGAACACTGGGGAACTGTTGTCTCCGATTCATGGTTACAGGTCATTCCTGGTTTCTTGTACATGTCTTGTTTGCATGACAGCTCAGGAGCCCCTCTGGAGAAGGGATCACACCTTTGCCTGCTCTTGGATCCTCTGTAGTGTCCAGCACGGGACAGCACAGCACAGCGCACACTACTGGGCACAGTATATATGCTTAATGCCCATTTGTTAAATGGAACTGTTTGTTCTGTATTATTTCTTCCTCGCTTTTTTAAAAATCATTTTTTGGACAGGCACAGTGGCTCACACCTGTAATCCCAGCACTTTGAGAGGCCAAGGCAAGAGGACTGCTTAAGGCCAGGAGTTCAAGACCAGACTGAGCAACATAGCAAGACCCTGTCTTTAAAAACATGAAAAAAATTAGCTGGTCATGGTGATATGCTCCTACAGTCCCAGGTACTCAGGAGGCTGAGTCTGAAGGATTGCTTGAGCTCAGGAGTTCGAGGCTGCAGTGAGCTATGATTGCACCAATGCACTCCAGCCTGGGCAACAGGCGGTCTCTAATAGAAATTTAAAATTAAAAATTATTTTCATCTTCATGAGAATTTGAATTACCTTTCAGTAGTATTTTCCCTATGGGGGAAAAACAAAATTTACTGAGAAGCCTTCATCTTCACCAAATAAGAGGTCACACAGGTTCCAATGAGAACATTTTCATCTTTCTTTTTTTTTTTTTTTAAATACATTTCCCGACTCTGTGGAAAGATGGCTCACAGTCCTAAGGCTCTTTCTCCTTTTCATAGCTTCTCGTGGGCAAACTCATTCACAGAGGGGATAGATTACCAGTCTTTTCTGATAATCTATTTTTTTTTGCTCATCCTTCTTTACTGAATATAAATATGGTCATTATTTTAAGCTAGAATAAAATTATTTTTACATCCTAACTGAAGGAGAGATTGTTTCCATTAAAATTTTCTTCCTAAGAAAATTTCTTTCTTGCCTTTTCCACAGACAAATTGGAACAAAGCAATTGTTTTGTGTTATATTTTTACCTCCTGGTTTGCTTTGTTCTTACTTTGAAGATTGCTGCCCACTGACAGCGTCCTGGCCAGATGACCCTCAGGAATAAGGTACTGAGAGACAAGTACCCTGTACCCCCTAAGTTGCAGCTCAGTGGTCACACTGGGAAGCCAGGCCACCTACTTCCAGGTGGCTTCATGGCCCAGTGGCCTCCAGGCATCACAGCAGAGTGTGGTGTGCAGGGCTGAGCCAGGGCTGCCTACAGGTGGTTACCAAGGTGGAAAAATTTGAGGGGCTGTGAAAAGGCCCTTCTGGGGTCCCCATAGCCAAGTAGAAAATGCATAGCATTGGACGTGGGGTCAGAAGATGTATATGATCCTCCCATCATGGCTGGCAACATCAGGAGGGGCATGCAGGTAAAGTCCAGAAAAATCTCTCTCTTCGCCTCTTGGGAACACATACAACATCCAAAGAACAATGGAAAACTGTCTCTTTTCTTCATGTCAGGACATGTCTCAGTTCAACTGCCCCTTCCATTCCTTGGGCCCCTCCTTTACCTTCCCAGCTCCCTCCTTCCCCTGCACCTGTGGTCAAGTCATTAGTCCAGGGCAGACAGGTTCCTTCGCAGGGAGGCAAACATGTATCCCTGCGTTCTTCAGACTATGTCATTTGGAAAACAATGAACCCACCAGCTTATACTGATCACCTCTTGTACCATAACACAGTGAGTTATTTTGCTAGAAGACTCACCCCACTATCCTAGGTCAGATGAGATCAGGGTGCTATGATCTTAAATAGTGCAAAAGAAAAAAATCTGGACCCTTAGTCCCTACCAGTAGAGGTTTTTAAATGTAGAGGGTTATTTCCACTATGCCACGCCTACTACTTTTAACAATGATTATTACAACAACTAGCATTTATTGAGTACTTTGTTTCTGACACTGTTTTGTCCTTTACATTCATCACCTCTTTTAAGCTTCACAATAATATTAATACTATGAAATAGATTTCATAGTAATCCAATTTTACTGGTAAAAAATTAAAGAGGTTAATTTCCCCAAAGTCATGGTAAGTGGTGGCACCAGGATTCATTCTTAACCGCCATATTTGACTGCCATCAGATCACGTGTAGCCAGCAAGTGCATTTTAAATACGTTCAATGGAAGTTGTTGATTTGTGAATCCAAATACCAGGAGCTGTGGTGACTGTAGTTTTCCAGACTGCGAGGGTCAGAGGCGTCACCATGCCTTTGTGCAATACAGGTAAGACAGAGCAGATCAAAAAAGATGGATCCCAAAAGATGGATAAAATGATTTATCAGACATTACTTCATGTTGTAAAAGTAAAATTTCTTGGAATAGAGATCATTTATTACTGAGCATGAAATATATCCACTGTGTAGATAGAGAGGGGAAAAATGTGTAATAAGATCAAACAGAAAGGAAAGAAATGAATATTTTTAAAACAAGTTGTTGCATCAGATCCTCAGTAGTTTCTAAAATGATTTTACAACAAATCCTGACAACAAATTATTTTTGCCACACCCTATTAACAGGTCAGAAAGAATTTTTCAGTAAATACAAAATGTTTTGCCTATCTATCAATTTGAAGAAAAAAAGTATGTAGTACATTTAATTTTTTTTGAGTTCAAAATGGATAAGTAAAATGTCTCGTGTTTATTTCATTAACTATCAGTGTTATAAAATGTGTGTTTGTGTGTTTCATTTTCAAGTTAAACCCAGATGTTTTTAATCAACCCAAATGACAGAATCACAATACATTCTTCAATTGACTTGTACAATATACGTTAAATAAAAGATTTTCTAAGATTCATGTGTTTTTTTAAACTCATTTATTTCGCACCATGTCTTATGTCATATACTGTGTGCCTTGCTTTTTGTGCTGAAACAAGGCAGGTTCCAAACATTCCAAATACACAATTTCCCACTGTAGTTTAACAAAGGCCATATATCTATCAGATTTCATCCAAGTTAATCAGCAGGGTACTGAAGGAGTTTTTTCCACGAGAAACAAAATAAACGAAACTTATGTAATTATATGGAACTATACATCTCCTTTGTTCCACATTTGAATGTAAGCTCCTCTAGAGTAAGGTAATTTGCACAGAGTAGGAGTTCAATAAAGGTTAGTTGAATTAATTAATTAGGCTTTCTCTTCTGACCCCACAGCCCCACCATACACGTAACTACTACTCATGCTTCCACCAGCATACACCAGATACCAGAAGCCCACCCATTGCTGTGCCTGGGGAAACAGAGTCAAAGTCTAATCACCTGAGCAGAATCTCTTTTATTGAAAAGAGTGATCACCTGGTTCCCTTCAACACATAAAATTCAATGAATTCCTCAGGCTTTCACAGGAATTTGTAAAGGTACATGAGGCATCATGAACCTCCTTGGTACAGTGAATTTGTTTTAGTGACAGAACTCCTTCTGTAAGAGAAGTTGTAAGCACATAGCCAAATTTTCTTGCTTTCTGTGGATTCTCCACCATGCTAGCCACCCACCCTTAACCCTATTAAAGTTGAAGCACCCTACCATAAAATGGAGCTGAGATGGGCTCGCTCTTTCTAGCTGCTATCTCAAACCCACTGGCTTCCCAGGGGCACAGAAAGTAGGCCCCAGGGCGGGGTTCCCTGATCAGATAGTCTGTAGTCTAGAGAAGTGCACCTTCTCAATTCTTAATCCTGTACACTCCAAGTAAAGTGAGAAAAGCTCCAGGTGTTAGCAGTTACTCTTGGAAAATCATTTCTTTAGTTCTGTTCAGAGTCCAGTTGGTTGAGCCGCATTACAATCATGTTGTTGATTTTCTTAAGATCATCTATGTCCTTTGCCTCAGCTGTTAGTCTTCTTGACACATCATCCATCTTGTTTCCAGTTTGAACTTCAAAATGGAAAACAGACTGTGTTACAACGACTCCCAGTGTGTTCCACTGGGACTCACTGGGGCCCTGTGTTGGTGTTCAGCAGAGTGCTGAAAGGCACTCTTGGCAACCCCCCTGTTCCAATATCCATGCATCCCAGAAACCCAGGGGAGAAGCTGGTGAAGACTGAAGTTGCTTATCAAGTGAATTAACTTCACAACCTCTGGTGCCAGCCTAGACTACCTTTGGCAGCTCCACAGAGATTTTGGCTGAGAAAGACATGGCTGTGAGCATCCAAAAGAAACTGCCGGCATGTCTGATTATCACTACAAAAGTGATCATTATGTGTCTCGTTTTGAGACCCATTCTCATTACAGGTTTTTAGCTCCTCATTTGGGAGCTAAAATTTGGGAGATTTTGAGCTCCCCATTGTTTGGGTTGCAGCCTATTTCGACATTTCTGCTGGTTCTGAATTACCAGCCCATAATAAATGTGTAATAATTCCCCTCAGAGCATTCCTAAGAATAGAGGTGCAGTATTTTCCAAATAAACAGAACTGGCAATACAGTAAACTAGAGAAGGGAACACTTTGAGGTCTGTTTATCAGAGTTAAAATTTTCAAGAAATGTAGCACAAAATCAGTACTTTATATTTGAACTCCTTATTATTTCCATTTCAGGCAAGTTTTTTTTCAAAGGTATCCTTCAGGAGCTAAGGTGTTTGCATCATGCTGATGGCCTTAACTAATAAACATGAGAAGGTTAACCAGGTGTTAGAGATTCAACTCCCAGCTGGTGGCTCAGCAGTTACTTCTAAAATAATTTCGAACAAGAGAGAAAATTGGTGGGCTCGGCAGGAGGAGGCAACACGCAGAAGGAGGGGACAGCAGGTGGACAGTGCCCCTCCCCATGTCAGCAGCAGAGAGGAGGGTGGTACTGGAAATTAGAGGATCTCTTGGCTGAGGAGCTGGTGTGCAGAAGCCTGAGTCACCTCTCAAGGGCACAGCATGCATGGCCCGGGCCAGGAGCAGGCCGCCAGCCTGGACAGGGTCAAACGGGAAAGAAGCCACCTTTAGAACACCCCCAAGACTATCACTAAGGCCATACTCAAGCCTCATGTGCTTCTAATTGATTTCTGTGATAAAACCTAGGAGGGAGTTTGAAACCTCAATGTGACTATATGTTGTAGACCTAATTTCATGGGTAAATCTAAGCACTGGATAAAGAAAACCTAGAATTAACTAGAATAAGTTGCCTACCATTTGGTAGTTAGGGGCTCCAAGTGGGAAATCAAAATGCTATAAAAGTATTTAACGTAATGTTCATGGACTTTTGGCACCGTGGGCTTCTAAAGCGGGCTTGTGCCCCAGGGACCCTGTCCCAGGCCAGTGGGGTTCACTCAAGGCCTTCCTTCCCCTCTGTCTTTCAGTGTAAGCATTGATCAGAAAATATTGACTCATTCCAGGAGCAAAGCTAAGTAACCAGCTGCAAAGTAAATACATACAAGTAATGAAAACCCGCCAGTGGTACTTACTTATTAGAAATATCACAAAGGAAACCAGGACCAGGCTGACAATCAGTATAATTAGCAGCCCCACAAAAAACAGACTCCGGCTTCCATTTCCTGAGTTTGTGCCCAGGACTGGGATTTTCTCCTCTAGAGCTAATACAAAACAAATGAAAAACAACAATAACAAAAACTCCTCAGCATCAACTTGTCCTCAGAATGGAGCAGTCCCCTGCTCTCAGAGACGTGCATAACGTATACACCCATGTTCCCTCTGACAACCCTAGAAAGTGACTTATGTTTTAGAAATGTCTTTGGGCCAAGAGCAATTTGTGAGTAATTTACCTTCTGTTATATTGGTATTCAGGAAATAAGCAAAGTTAACCTACCTCCTTAGACCTGTTTGGAAAGGGTAGCAGGACGTGGATTTTTCTTTGGAGTGAGAATGAAGAAGGTAAAGGGTAAAACTGACGGAGGCATTCATGCCCTTTTCCCAGAGTAACCCAGGAGTGAAACAGCTGTGTGTGGGACACCTACCCCGGGTGGAAGATTGAACTGAACACTCTGGAACATCTCCCCAGAAACTCCTTTTATCATAGGAATAATCAGTTATGCCTATATCCATTTAAACAAAAGTGGCCCTGCTATACTTTGGTTTCTTAAATCTGTCTTCAGGGTGGATATGCTCTGGAAACAAGGTTCTTTCAAATGTTTTGCAGTGGAACTGAGAATGCAACTATGCTGATACAGCAGCTTGGTTCGCCCAAACCATGAATTGTCTGCATTTAGTCACCATTTTGTAAGTTCTAGTTGCCTAATAACACCCAGGTGAAATTGGAGTAGCGGAGTCCGTTCAATAACTTTTCGTATGGGCCGGGCGCAGTGGCTCACGCCTATAATCCTAGCTCTCTGGGAGGCCGAGGTGGGCGGATTGTTTGAGCTCAGGAGTTCGAGACCAGCCTGAGCCAGAGCGAGACCCCGCCTCTACTAAAATTAGAAAGAAATTAATCGGCCAACTAAAAATATATAGAAAAAAAATTAGCCGGGCATGGTGGCGCATGCCTGTAGTCCCAGCTACTCGGGAGGCTGGGACAGTAGGATCACTTGAGCCCAGGAGTTTGAGGTTGCTGTGAGCTAGGCTGATGCCATGGCACTCACTCTAGCCAGGGCAACAGAGTGAGACTCTGTCTCAAAAAATAAATAAATAAATAAATAAATAAATAAAATAACTTTTCGTATGCTCTCCTACTATGAACTGGTCCACTCACTGTGCTCCTCGAGTCTGGACAGATGGGTGGCTCATGTCTCATACCTCAGAAGTACATCCTATGTCACCCCCTCAACAGCTGTTGCTTTCTAATCAAAGCAACAGCACAGGCTGACACCCAAATATCTACTTTTCTTGAGACTGACTGGAATAAAAACAGGTGAAAATCCGAACTTACTAAAATGAAGAAAAAAGCAAGAACTCAGGAAGAATTTATAAGGGGAACAATAGATATAAAATTGGGACAGTAAGTTAAGAGAGCATAGGAAACAAATGGCAAGTGGGCCATTAGCACCTGTGTTTGAAGGTCAGCATTTCAGTTAGAAATGACGGGGCTCCAAATGTCTGAAAGAACTCATTTGTAGTACTTAGGGGGCAAGATATACTTTTAGTATTTAGCATATTTTTGTTTTGCTTTCCCCACCCTTTTTCTAGCCCTTTAATTGGGCAATCTGTAATTTGTAAGTAGAAAATGAAGTTGACTTCCTTGACCAACAGAATTTTAATGATTTTTTAAGAACTAGGTGAATGTTGAGCATTTTCTCAGCATATGCTCTGAAACGAGGTCCCTTTAGGAAAGTGGGCGCCACTGGTGACCTAACTGTGGTCACCAGGAGGCCCCGCAACAGCAAGAAGGGTGAGCAGGCTCCAGAGTCCAGCTCTGCAAGGCGCCACCCCTTCCAGGGCAGAAACTCCACAGGATCTTCTTTTTTTTTTTGAGACAGAGTCTCACTGTGTTGCCCGGGCTAGAGTGCCGTGGCGTCAGCCTAGCTCACAGCAACCTCAAACTCCTGGGCTCAAGCGATCCTCCTGCCTCAGCCTCCCAAGTAGCTGGGACTACAGGCATGCGCCACCATACCTGGCTAATTTTTTCTGTATGTTTTTAGTTGTCCAATTAATTTCTTTCTATTTTTAGTAGAGACGGGGTCTCGCTCTTGCTCCGGCTGGTCTCGAACTCCTGAGCTCAAACAATCTGCCCGCCTCGGCCTCCCAGAGTGCTAGGATTACAGGCGCGAGCCACCGCACCCGGCCAATTTTCTTTCTTTAATTTTTATCTTTCCTCCCTGGCCAGACTAGCTGAGATTCTCAGAATTTTTAAAGACAAGAGTTGAAATCTTGTTTAGGAGCCAAGAAAGCCCAAAATCCTATCAAGTATTCAGAGGACAAAAGCATAAAATGCCTAACAGTAAACAGCATTTCCAGTGGCAAGCTGCGCCCAATCCACCCCACCCCCAGCACACCCACCCCCACGCTAGCATTTGCTGCTTCTAGGTAGCCCAGAAGCTAGACAGGGCCACCACGCCTTCCCAGGCACACATACGGAACAGATGCTGCGATCCGGCTGGACAGAGGTTTAGTTTGTTTAAGTCATTTATGGAATCCACAACATAAAGCTTTCTGTCTTCATAAACGCCACCAGAGCCAGTGTCCTGGGAAGAATGATTCATTGTCCCTGGAAGAAAACACTGACATGAGAAACAAGAGGCTGGGCTAGGGAACTCAACCTCGCAAGAACCATATAGCCAGCAGGAAGCCCCACAGGCCCATGAAGAACCACCCACAAATACCATTTTCAACTAAGGGTCTAGAGAAGCTTTGCTTATCTGCAAGAAAATATTTCCTTTTGTGGACGACTTCATAATTATTCTTTTTGCTTTGCTTGCCAGGAAGCTCACATCAAATGTGTGGCGGAATTTTAAGAAATATATCGCTGTTTATACCCTGTTTATCTGCAAAAGCTCTTTTCTCCTCCTCATTTTTCTCAATTCTGCCTATATTTTCCCTGGACGTCTTTTTTTATTTTGTGATTGATTTTTAAATTTTTCTCTTTTAGTACATTGTTCATATTCTGGCAAATGCCTTTGTGCAGGAAGACTAGGTATAAATATATAGAAAGACAAAATTGAGCTAGTCAGCCTGTGGCCATAAAGATTCTGAAAGAAGAGGAGGATATTACTGTGAACCATTCTAGTTGCATGAGGCTTTAATACAAAACTGTAATTTTTATATTCTCCCTCAATATGGCGTATGAGTCCTTACCTTCAGATATTTCCTTTAGCCATTAGATGCTGGCTGTGAGTCTCCAAGACAAGATCTTAGCAAACGTAGATGCTGTAAAGAGGAATTCTGCTAGACTCTAGGACCTGTGAGGTCTCTTCCATCTGCCCTTAGAGTGTGGTCACTTAAGTAATAAATATTTTTAAAATTGAGGTTTACATTAAAGATAATGTTTTCTAATGACAACACAACTTCAAGCAACACTGAAAAGCCTGAAGAGATTAAAGAGGTCTATATTAAGATGTCTGTCTAGCATAACAGAAAACTCACGGCCGTTTAATTATGTGAAAAGAAGAATCTGGGAAGACTAATTCCAATTACTATAAAAAGCTTTCTTTCACGGTTATCTCTTTTCATAAAATGAGTCTAATTATGACAGAGGATTTTTTTTGATATGGAAAGGATGTTAGTCCCCAATCTGGTCTAGCCCCCAGTCTTTCTACAAATGAGGAAATGAAAGTTCGGCAAGGTAAATGCCCAAGATCACACATTTGGGCCTTTTGTCCGGTGTTCACTGGGTGTTCCATTTCTTTTATACCTTTCTTTTCCATACTCCTTCCTAATCCTCTCTCAAGACTCAGCTCAGACATGACCTTAAGAAGAGAGAACCAACCTGTCTTTCTGCCTTTGTTGGATCCTGTGTATTCCTCTGACAGAACATCTATAGCATTTTATTGCATTTATTTGCTTACACCTTTGACTTCCCCAATAGACAGAAAACTCAGTGTAGAGACAAATCTTGTTCTTCAAATACCCAGTGCCAGGTTTAGAAGCCAGTGACATAGGTTAATTTGGAACACCTATAATATTTATTTAGGATTTAAATCTATTTTCAAAAGAATTGGAGGCAGTAAGTATGCTGACAGAAATAAGATTGAGGGTAAAAATCTCCATGTGATGTCTATCTGGACTCTCGTGAAGTCAATGCAGTAAATATTGTGCCTGCCCATATGTGGCAACACACTGTTTACTTCCTGTTACCATTTCTTAAATTTCCTTTAATACCTAGCAACAGAATGAAGAAGCTATAATTAGAGTTCGGAGAAACCAAATTCAGAAAAGAAAAGTACACACCTATAGAAGATCTGAAAAAATGTATCAGCCATCGACTAAACAGCTTGAACAGCACTCTAAAATATTAAAAACCAGCAATTTCTCAGTAATAACTAAAACTTACTGGTACTTGTAAAAAATGTGCTCCCAGAAACCTAGCTAAGAAAAACAGTGAGCTTGAAAAGTCATGAATTAAAATTTTTTTCGGAGTTAAAGCTAAACAGTATGTTTTAGTTATCCTGCAATTTTAATTAACAAAAACACAATTCCCTGAGTATTTTAGATAAGGTATTACTGTAGCACTTTAAATATTGAGAGTAAATATTAATATTGACAGTAAATACTGAGTTTTAAGTATACTTCATGGAGTATTTCTAGGGAAATGACTTGATATAACAATTAAAAAAAAAAAAAAAAAGGCAGCAGCTAGAGTGAAAGGCCCTAGAGATCAATCAACTCTAATCCTTTTGCAGATAAAACCAAAGCCCAAAAGCACTGACTGGTGCATGGCCGCAGATTTCAAAACAATTCTTCGAGAAGTGTTTTATATTTTATCATCTCTTCATACTAATATTTGACCAAACACTAATATTTGACCAGGAATAAAGGTTGTATGTGTCACATCATAGGATCATTGTTCCAAACAGAGCTGCTATTTTAGGCCTGGTGACTGATGCGTGGTTCATTTTTGGATCTCTGACTTAATATCCTTGAGCCTTGGCTTCCCCTTCAGGAATGTAACTGCTGTTGCTGAAATCTCATATGGAGGCTTACTCGATGTTTACAAAGTAGAGAACTAGCTAGAAGAAAATCACAGCCACAAAAACTGACTTTAAGAGTACAGTTAATAAATCTCCAAATTAGTGGCCTTGCTACCTACTCAAAAGGTCACTCCAAAAGAATCAAGGCAACAACCTAGAGTGGGCTATGAAGTGCTCTGAAAGAAAATTTCTTTAGAGTTAAGTCACAATGTAAATATATGCTGTTTCAATATATTTTTAAATGAATTGCAACCGGTGAATGTAAAATAAAGAACTAATAGAGAAAACTGGGTTGGGTGTTGTTCAGGCCTGCCAAGAGCCTACAAATGACTCGCAAATGACTCATGAGTCTGCTAGTAAATGGATACAAGATCACATGGCCCTAACACCAGGACCCACAGCTGTTTTGACACCCAGCACTTGCTATATTTGGCATGTCCAAATGAGGGCATCTGGGAACAACCAGCAAGGCTGGAGAAGCCGGTGTTACTAGCAATTCCACATCACACTGACTTAACCCTCCTTCCCAACTCCAGTGCGCAAATTTGCTTATTCACCAAGATTGGCTAAAGCAGCAGCCTTTTAACAGAAACTTATCCAACACCTTGAGCTGAAACATGTAAGTAATTTGATTTTCCTCTAACAGCTGATTCTTTTTGTCATTTGAGAATTCTTTGACTGCCTACAAAGAAATATTCTGACAAATAAAGATTAATTGTCCGTGAAAAATTGCTTTGTGCTTTATTTTTTCCCACAGGTGCTTGGTATCAAATCATAGAAATAACTCACACCAGTACTGCTTGCCACAAAACCAGAATTGTTAAAATAGGGCTTAATTCAAAGCTAATAAGAAGCTTTATTGAGTAAGTCATGGTAATCTGTTCTTTAATTCCATTTCAGAATCAATACCTCTTCACATTTAAGAAGTAATTTTTAAAATCAAGTCTAAATCATTTCTATCAAAAGTTAAAAGCACAGGGCACATGCAAAGAAAACTTCCCAGACTCAAGAATTATAATTCAGACTCAGCAGAGTAATAGCATGCAAATTACTTACAAAAATGTGAGCTTTGACTGGTAGGTTACCAGAAAAAAAAAAACAAACTAATTATCCAGGAGCAACTACAAAAAACTTTCTACAAATTCTGTAGTTCTTTCTTTGCCTTTTCCTTCAGGGTACAGGTGTTCCTATGAAGCCCATAAAGCCCAGCATGAAACTGTTGGTCTATATTTAGTGTTAATCTAGCCAAGCAGTGTAAGATTCCAAATACTGAGTTTTTTCATAATGTCTAAGGTTGAAAATACATTACTGAAACTATGCTTTAAAAAGAAAACAATAACAACAAACACCATGCGCTGATTTTGTTGGTAACTGACGAGGTCCTTGTTGGATTGAAGGGAATGTCCTTATTTGGCTGAAGCAGCTACGTAAGCTGACACCACATTCCCAGCATTTCTGCCTCGGTATGCTCCCTTACGTGAACACCCTGGAGCAGGCAGAGCTGCCACTGTGACAACTAACTCCCGAGGACTCCAGACCAACCAGAGAACTGCAATAAACAGGGACAGAATATGGTCTTGACATCATAGCTAGGATGATGGCAGATCAGACTCCTGAGGCTTCCAGTAGCCACAAAAAGCAATTCTGAGTGGGAGATGGTACGGCTACGGACCCACTGCAGGCGAAGGAGGCACTTCATCTCCTCCACCTCCTTTCCTTTTCAAAGGCCTTTCCAAGGCTGTGACTTTTTGCACCTCCTCCTTTCCCTGCCGTTCGCTTGTGTGGTCCCCTGACATACACTCCAAGGAGCTTCTGCCCTCTGGTGTACATACAAGATGCTACAGCGACGAGATGAGACCCCACAAGCCCCGGGTTCCAGGTCACAGGAACTATCGCAGCAGGATACTAAGGGTTAGGTTGTAAATAGATATGCAGTCTTCTGTAATCCTACCTTCCATTGCCACAAGTAGATGGACATTATCCAACCTTAAAATATTTTTCAGGTCAGTTAGAATATATGTGCTCCACAAAATTTTCTCGACACCTATTTTGGGGGAAAGGAATGTCATTTTCTTAAGCTTCATCTAGCCCCAAGGACCAATTCTCGGAGGAAGACAATATAACTAATAACTGTTTTCTCAGAAACATTATACATTAAAAAGCTACATCAAATTTTTCTGAAAAATAAAAATGTTCACATTGGTTGATTTTATCATGACTAGTTTAAAAAAAAAAAATTTCCCAACTGCTATACCTGTCTTTAACCATCTATCCTTTGAAGAAATAATAGAACTAATGCCTCTTTTTTGAGCATTTACTGTTTTTCCTCTTATAATCCTGTAAAATATTAATATTAACCTCCCCTCAGGGATGAGGAAAATGAAGACTAAGGAATTTAATTGTTGAAGGATACACAGATTTTAAGTAGCAGAGATGAGAATTAAACCCAAATGTCATATCAAAGTCTCAATTCAACTATACATCAGTCAGGGATAAGACTGGCTTTAAACCAGACTCGTGGAGAACCACTTAAGACCAAAGCAAGATAAACTACTTTAACTATTATGTAACTGAAA